AGCTTTACCCTATAGCATGGCACTCGAATGTTCTCGGACGCGTGTCGGCAGAAACACAACAACTGGAGAACATCGATACCATCTGGTACACAAAAAAAAGGAGCCAGACAAAGAACACTCGAACGCTCAATGGCTTGTCGGTGGAGAGCGGGGTCAACCGCGACAGGCAAGGCATCTACTGCTGTTATCGGTAAATCGGTGGGTTTTTATTGGCTGCGATTCGCCGTCGCCCCCTCCCCCGCTGATGTTGAATTAAGAGTCCACACGGAACAGAACAACCCAAAACGGAAACACTCAACCATTACCTTCAGCTAACCGGAACCCATAATCATCATCATCGTCATCATCATCATCTGCTAACCGATACCCTAGACCTTCCGGCCCCGCTGAGTCGAGAAAGCGGCCGGCTCGACTACAGAACGGGTCCTCGCAGCGAAGAAAACATCTTGGTGGAAGAAAACCAACGCTCAAAGATTTTCACGAAAAAAAAGAAAGAGGGCGTCAACTAAACACACACACTCACATCTACCCCCACAACTTACAGGTGAGAGCGAAAATCACACCGAGCACTGATTCTTCACAAAGGGAAGGCACAAAAAACACAGCACGACATAAGGGGAGCGCAGAATCGCAAGAGAGAGAGAGGTAGTCTAAACTCAAGCACCCAGGGCGTCCGCAGCAGACCTCTGCGGGGGCTCCGCGGTATTCTGAAACACGGTACCATCGTCGCTGCTGCTGCTGCCCGACGGAGCCCCCCCCCACACCCACACCATGCACTTCCACGGAGTGATCTCGTGCCAGCGGTGGACGAGGCCGGGCAGGTGGACGCGCAACACTCCGAGGGGTTTCTCTCCGAGCATCACCTGGCACGCCAGAACGGGTGTGTACTCATGAAGATGCGTGGCGTGGTCGTTCCACCATTGACCTCGCGTCGTCCCTACAATGCCCGGACGGACCTACAATGCCGGGTTTTCGCCGACCCAGCAGGCTACACTTGACAAGGTAAACCAGGAGCTGGTCGTCATCCTTGCCATGGGCGGGGTGCATATGTTTCTAATACAGCAGTCTGCGCCTGCGGTTGAAAACCTCTTGCAGCATTTTCGTTCGGGCGGAGGGTGGGGTTGCTTCATATTTCTGAAGTTCCTCTTGAGGGCTACAAATGGCCGCTGAATAGGTTTCAGTTTCGGGGGTTCTTAGACGGCCTCACAAACGGTGCCCAGGGTCTAGATATTGAGTTATTCGCGGCTCAATTGGTCAAGAGCCAAATTCTTAAGCGCGGGCGCTTATTGTTGTATCGGAGTTGCCGTTGTTGTTATTGCCATCGTCTCCGCTACATCAGGCACTATCATCACATTATATATGCACCACCTCCTGCAGTACGATTCTTGGAAACGGCAAAAAAAGGCAGGGAATCACTTCACCACCGGTATCCTTTCGAAATCCTCCGATGACAGCAGAAATCCCGACTTCCCGCACTACGATAGAGAGTGCCCCTTACAACTGAACGATCGCCATCTCCTGGGGGTACGGTTGGTGCACTCTTCTACCGGCTATCCCCCCCCGTCGGATAGATAGGGTAGGGAAAACATTCTTGAGCCACCTCTGGCAATGTAGCAAGGGACGATTGGCCATCGGTGATCTGTCTGGGGGGGAACAATGAACAATGCTCCGTCCTCTCGTCAATGGTCTACTGTTGACAGCTATGTGAGGCACGAAAAACATGAGTCCCCACCCCCATCGGCGTGAGAACATTCCATGCTACAACCCTATACGGGTAAGGCTGTTGAGTGTCCCACATGCTATAACCTTATACGGGAAAGCTGTTGAGCGTCCCACATGCTATAACCTTAACCGGGAAAGCTGGTGAGTGTCCCACATGCTCCAACCCTAAAGGGAAAGCTGTTTCGCCACCTCGAAACAATCCACACACACACCTTGTGCACAAACGCGGTATCTTCGTAGCCCCAGCGGCCGCTGTTCGCGTCGGCGATGCCGCCCACCGCGCGGTAATCGGAGGCGTACATGGCCATCGGCCCGAAGGTGCTGAGAGGATAAATGCAATTTCCTGGTGAAGAAAAAAAGCACCACAGTAAAAAAGCAAAAGAAGCCAACGACGCGGTGAACAAGGGTGATCGATGAGACAAAAAGATGGATATCCGGCAACAAGATTGAAAAACGAAACATGACAATGCAGTAATGAAGAGTGACGGACTCGACGACAACATGAACATCCACACGAAAACATTGAAAAAAGGAACATGACAATGCAACAACGAAGAACTATGGGAAAGACAAAAACATGAATATCCGCACGAAAACATTGCAAAAAGAAACATGACAAAGCAGTAATGAAGAGTGACGGATAAGACGAAAACACGAACATCCACCCGAAAACATTGAAAAAAGAAACATGACAATGCAAGAACGAAGAGTTATGGGAAAGACAAAAACATGAATATCCGCACGAAACATTGGAAAAAGAAACATGACAATGCAGTAATGAGGAGTGACGGATAAGACGAAAACATGAACATCACACGAAAACTTTGAAAAAAGAAACACGACAATGCAGCAACGAAGAGTTACGGGAAAGACAAAAACATGAATATTCACGCGAAACATTGAACAAAGAAACACGACAATGCAGCAACGAA